TAGAGTTTTATAAAGGGCAACTAACTCAGTTAGAACCCCATTTCACATTTCAAGCGACTAGCATCACTGATGGAACAATACGTTTAATAAGTATTATATTTGGCATCTTTGAAAAAAAATATAGTTCACTCTACCACCTAATATAGTGTAATATAGTATTCTTTCACCATGAACTAGTAAAACGTTAAAGCATGAGGTTGCAAGTTTTCCTTGACTTAAATGTCCATATATACTACTCACACTCTGAAACGTAGATTTATAATTTGAAATTGTATCCAGTTAAAACTGGATAAATAGGCAAACAGTCACTTTAATATAACCTTATGCACCTAATACATGAGTAACCATAACAAGACAAAGTCATCAATATCCCCCGCAATGGCAAAATACTCTTTATGAATATGTCTACTAGTTATGATTATGTCAAATGTTTTGGAGTGTATAAAGCAAGATGGAAGGAGAGTATTGAAAGGTTTTTAACATCTGCTCCAGAAAGGAGCACTACCACCAAATTCAGTTGAAGCCTAACTTGTTGCCATGAAAATGCAACAAGATGACATCCTCATAGTCACAGCCTTAGTCATGTTTCCATGGAAACCACCAAAAATAAAATTCATATCTGGGTCTAAACCCCCAAAAGGCACATCTAGGGATCATGCTTGATATGTGTACCAAGTTTGATGAAACTATTATGTATAGTTTAGGAGATCTGCTCCGGACAAGATGACATCCTCATAGCCACAGTATAAGTCATGTTTCCATGGAAACCGCAAAAAATAAAATTCACATCTGGGTCTAACCCCCAAAAGGCACATCTAGGGATCATGCTTGATATGTGTACCAAGTTTGATGAAGCTAGCATGAATAGTTTGGAAGATCTGCTCCGAACAAGATGACATCCTCGTAGCCACAGCCTAAGTCACATTTCCATGGAAACCGCAAAAAATAAAATTCACATCTGGGTCTTACCCCCAAAAGGCACATCTAGGGATCATGGTTGACATGTGTACCAAGCTTGGTTAAAGGTCACATGCAACGTAAAACACAACTTTGCAGATTCTGATACCTTTCGGTATGGACTTACCGAAACAAATCATCAAAAATGCAAATTCAACTTATAAAGTTGAAAAATAACGCGATGAAAAAACCCACGCGAAATCGTAGTTCAAACGATTCACTAATTTTCCCCCAGCGCTTGGGGGAATTGAAGTGCTTTCAACAGCTGGGCTGCGCTCATAGCACATGCGCAGTGAAATAGGTTCGCGCAGCTTGGAAGCGGGTTGTCCAGTGAATACTCGGTGAAGGCTTTGGTGTGAGCTATGTTTTGTTGATATTTCACAGGCGCAAGCTTTTTATATGTTATGACAGTAGATTACTGATTTAACTGTTTATATAATTTCATTTGTCTATCTCACCACACGTTCTTCTTACCGAGTCACTTTCTCAGTTCGATGCTTGAAAGCAATGTCATTATTTAGCGTTGACAGAATTGTTAACTGTGATATAGACATGTCGTTGTCACAGACAAAACTCAATGTCTGTTTTATTGACACCTATGTGTCTGCCTGCCCGTCTGCTAATGACAATACTCAATACACAACTTCGATCACTGACCACATGCAATTTGAACTTAACACCTATCAGGCTATACACCATAAACAAAATGCATTGATTTATGGCCCGAGTTTGGTCTCTAATTACACAGACAGGCAGGTGTGATACTTGTACACATGACATGTTATGGTGTCTGTTGATTGCAAAATCTTATGCACAAAAAATGAGCATGCATTTACAAAACCCAACATCCCGGCTGCTTCGTTTCCTGGGAAGTAAACCCAAGTACAAAATATTGCACTTTTGATTTGCAATTGTACGCTTATAATATTGTTTATATGTTTTTCCATAACCAGCAATGTATATTATATGTCATGAATAAGTGATAATTAGGAGATAAACCTAGTGTGTTTGAAAATCAGAGACATGCTTTACTGAATTGATGGCGACTAAATTTCAATTGGAACCGAACGCGTACTGAATTGATGGCGACTAAATTTCAATTGGAACCGAACGCGTAGCGTGAGGTTTCAATTGAAATATTTAGTCGCCATCAATTCAGTAAAGCATGTCTCTGATTTTCAAACACACTAGGGTTATCTCCATTCTACCATGAACCATTTAAAATCGAACTTCCTCGCTCTGCGGAAGACACTGCGTAATCCGGCATGGGACGAGGCGAATTGAACTCGTCTGTGAAGGGAGCGGTAGGTGCCGTTCGTATTTTTTTAACATTACAACATAACAATATTCTGTCCAAAGAAATCAAACTCCTGTTTATTCAATGCAATTATGTAATACCCGAGATCTTGGGGTTTTTTTCATCCCAACTCCACACGACTAAAACCAGCCTATTGTTTCGTGTGCCGTGAAACTGTACCCCCCTGGCCACACTATAATGGAATCGTCTGACCTACTTATTTTCTTCGAAGTAGACAGTTACGCAACAGTTTGAAATGGCGGACGAGCCAGTGTTTACATTTTGCGAAAGGTTGAAATTTGAAGTGACAGTGGGCAATACTTGACTGACTGTCGAATCTAAACCCTGCAGAATCGAAGGATAGATACTTTCCTGATCAACCTACGACCTGTAACTCATCAAAGACTAACTTGTTTGAGTGGCATTTTAGAAGTTGAGACGTACAATATATAACAAGTTTTATAGATAACAACTTCTTTATTTTGGTGAGTGCGACGTTTCGATACAGATTCTTGTACCGTTGTCAAGCAAGAGTGATACATGAAGTGTAGGAGCTGCATATATATACTGTATATAACAATGAAACAACATAATAGACAAAGGAAACAACATAATTGCCATGATTGGCTAAGCAGTAAGCTGATGAAGCCAGTAAGTACATAAAGGATAGTGAATGGAAGCCAGAGATGTAGTTACAATGAGATGATTATACAATGGATGCGATGTTTATACAATAGACTGGGCTTGGTGGAGGAGTGGATCATAAGCAGATGGAATGAAGTATCCTTGGTCACGGTTGATGGTAGGCTTGTGGCGTTTGATCTGAATGGCTTCTGTGAGCTTGCGTTTAGTGAAGTCCGTTTGGTTGTTGGCGAGAATGGTGATGTCGGACTACTCTGTTGATTTTTATGACCGGCCGATCATGATTTCACGTACTGCCTCCACCCCGGCATGCGACAAAAGGGTGACAGTGCTGCTGCTTAGTCACTTAGTGTACATGCCACTAACTTGTGATTCCTTGGAACGTTGTTTTCATCGTTTGGGACTGGACTGTGTCCAAGCGTTTTTCAAAGTAGATGAACATAACAGTGACAACCTTGCGGGGAAGCTGGCAGAGATCAGAATTATTTTGTGAACGATGCAACGGGATATGATGGAGTATGACTATGAGTGGCATAAATGTGGTGTTTCGCCAGACCGTTCGATCTATCTTGCAAATTTCCCATTCTAAACGGGGAATCATATAATTGCATTTTTCGAGTTTAAATAAATGTTTTATCAGCATTTCCATCACGTCTGTTGTGTTGATATTAGTCATGTTGGTGGTCAAGCTGAAGTAGTGCGGCAGTGTTCTATACGTGCGCAGTGAAGCGCAATGAAATCAAACGCATTTTTAATCCAAAAATTTCCAATTGCCTATGTGGAATATTCGAAAATCAGCGTCAAAATCCACGGAGTTGTTATTATGATCCGCCACCATTGTGGTCAAACGGGAGTAGTTCTCACAATAAGATTTGTCAATGCGCGGTGAAGCGGCCTTACAATCAGATGAGCGTCAATCCACAATTGATGCCGTTTGATTTTTCTGAACAACGGTCAACCAGAATCTAGTATTTTCTTGATTCATGGTAGAATTGTGTTTTAATTATGTTTGATTTTTTGGTTGCATTTGACCTTTAAGCTATCACGAATAGCTTAGGAGATATGCTTCGGACAAAGTGTGACGGATGGACGGAACTCGTTTCTATATCCCCGGCAACTTCGTTGTTGCGGGGGATAAAAATGGTTTTCATGGCACCAATCAACCATTTTGCAAATCATGGAACGAGTCACTGACAAGTACACAACACCTGTCAATAGCAGGTATGGGATCCACAAGATGAAATGACATACTAAAACTTAGGATCCATGCTTACAATAAGCTTAGATATTTAAACCAAATTTGACCCCACGTCATAGGTTTCTGTTGAATCCATGATTTGATCCTCAGCAAAGTGTGAATAGTATACATATACGACACGTGAAGATCCGGGTTAGAATTGATCTTCAGTAACACATGCTTGTCATAAAAGGCGACTAATGGGATCGGGTGGTCAGGCTCGCTGACTCGGTTGACATGTCATTGTATCCAATTGCGTAGATCGATGCTCATGCTGTTGATCATTGGATTGTCTGTCTGGTCCTGACTTGATTATTTACAGACCATCGCCATATAGCTGGAATATTGCTGAGTGTGGCGTAAAACTAAACTCTCTCACTCATATACATATATACTGGGTTTAAACAAAGCATTTCCATCCTGCTGCTGCCAAGTTGTGGCTACTACAGATGGAACAATGGTGACTGCCAGGGCAAGTGCTGCAACATCCACCCCTGCTGCTACAAGGAGGCTGAACTAGCCCACACCATCACCTTCAGGTAATCACCACACACAAACATGGCCAACTGCAATATTATGCACACACAGTTTATTTATGAAGGAATATTAGGATACAAAACTAACGATAAAAGCATTGGACACAAATAACAAGTAGAGCCAAATACACAGGGCAGATTTCCTCAAAATAAGAACATAATGTATGAATGGACGACAGCAAAAATTAGCATAAACTGGTTTGAAAGTACTTTAGAGTGTGTGTAGTGTGTGTAAAGCTGGATAGGTGTATTAGGTGTGTACACGGTGGAGCCAGTGTATGTAGGTGTGTACCGGGTGTAGCCTAGGTGTATGTGGGTGCGTAATGGTGTAGCTAGGTGTATGTGGGTGTGTACGGGTGTAGCTAGGTGTATGTGGGTGTGTACGGGTGTAGCTAGCTGTATGTGGGTGTGTACTGGTGTAGCTAGCTGTATGTGGGTGTGTACGGGTGTAGCTAGCTGTATGTGGGTGTGTACGGGTGTAGCTAGCTGTATGTGGGAGTATTAATGGGTGTAGCTAGCTGTATGTGGGTGTGTACGGGTGTAGCTAGCTGTATGTGGGTGTGTACGGGTGTAGCTAGCTGTATGTGGGTGTGTACGGGTGTAGCTAGCTGTATGTGGATGGTTCATAACAACACATGAGCAAATGAACTGTGAATACCACTTGTGAGAACCAAATCTCTTCTGGTATCAGACTCTTTCTGAGCAATCACATTTTATGAATCTAGCATTGACAGGTCAACGAGAACTGTTTCTCTGTGACCAATATTACATTTTCTAGTGTGAAAACTTCATATTTGGTGCAGTAAGTCTAAGTCTAACAGTACTTCATCACTCTATATTGCTTGGGAACTAGTGGTGTGATACGTGTATCTACAGTTTGGGTCCTTGTAATTTGGCACGTGGTATGTTTACACATTTAAAGCTCATCTATTCTATGTTATCACTTGTGAAACAGATCAGTGATAACATGAGATATAAAAGCCGAAATCAAAAAGGAAATTGAGAAAACTGAGGAAGCAATCGAAAATGGGTGGCAAGAACTGCAAAATGCAGTGTATATTTTCATCAAGATCAACCAAAAACTGTCCTTGACAGAGTAGATCATTACAAAGAAAACTTAATTGAAATTGGTATAATCTGATAGTCAAGATCAAACTGGTCACAATCAGGAGCTGATAGTTCCCACCATCAGAAACAATAGCCACCATCAGAAGTAAATCAAAGTTGATCAGTGACCTGGTGGCCATGTTTTACATTGTGTACTACGGTTGGAGAAAGCGCATCTGGTGAACAGGGGCAGCCTACATCAGTATTAAAGAATAATTCACCTAAAATCCTTTAAAAGATTCCTACAGTAAGGTTATTTTAAAGTCTCATGACAAAAACACAAAAACAAAATGCTAAATGTATCTGGTTCTTATATACAGAAACTAAAATTACCATGCTGAAAAATGTAGATAGTAAAACCATAGTGCAGCTATATTGTATCTGTTGTGAGAGAACTTGCATGTTCATGTACAGGAGACAGTTCATCATACAATCTGGTCAATATTCACTTGGCTTCACATCAGTACTGACACAATTAAGGTAAAAGTGGGATTATTACAAACAATCTTATGGGTACTTTAACCACAGTTACTAAAGAGACAAATGTTTCCCTACAGTACTGAGTTGCCGGCCTGTATGATCAGTACGTGATAGGGGCCTACAGTACTGAGTTGCCGACCAGCATGATCAGTAATGCGATAGGGGCCTACACAGTACTGAGTTGTCGGCCTGTATGATCGCGCACGTGATAGGGGCCTACAGTACTGAGTTGCCGACCAGTATGATCAGTACGTGATAGGGGCCTACAGTACTGAGTTGCCGGCCTGTATGATCAGTACGTGATAGGGGCCTACAGTACTGAGTTGCCGGCCTGTATGATCAGTACGTGATAGGGGCCTACAGTACTGGAAGTTGCTCGGCCTGTATGATCAGCACGCGATAGGGCCTACAGTACTGAGTTGCCGGCCTGTATGATCAGTGCGTGATAGGGGCCTACAGTACTGAGTTGCCCGGCCTGTATGATCGTATGATCAGTACATGATAGGCCTACAGTACTGAGTTTGTCGGCCTGTATGATCAGTAACGCGATAGGCTACAGTACTGAGTTGTCGGGAGTATGATCAGTATGCGTGATAGGCGCTCACAGCAACTGAGTTGCCGGCCAGTATGATCAGCAATGATGATAGGGCTTCTACAGTACTGAGCGCCACGTATGATCAGTACGAAATCAGCATGCGAGGGCCTACGCCTACAGTACTGAGTTGCGGGCCAGTATGATCAGTAATGCGTGATAGGGCCTACAGTACTGAGTTGCCGCCAGTATGATCAGCAATGCGATAGGGGCCTACAGTACTGAGTTGCCGCCCTGTATGATCAGTATCGTGATAGGGGCCTACAGTACTGAGTTGCCGGCCTGTATGATCGCATGCGTGATAGGGGGCCTACAGTACTGAGTTGCGGCCTGTATGATCAGTCGCGTGATAGGGGCCTACAGTACTGAGTTGCTGTTTCACCAGTATGATCAGTACGCGATAGGGGCCTACAGTACTGAGTTGCCGGCCTGTGTGATCAGTAATGCGATAGGGCCTACAGTAATTGAGTTGCCGGCCTGTATGATCAGTACGCGATAGGGGCCTACCAGTACTGAGTTGCCGCACCAGCATGATCAGCAATGCGTGATCGGGGCCTACAGTACTGAGTTGTCGGCCTGTATGATCAGTGCATGCGATAGGGGCCTACAGTACTGAGTTGCCGCCTGTATGATCAGCACGCGATAGGGGCCTACAGTACTGGAGTTGCCGACCTGTGTGATCAGTGTCACGCGATCGGGCCTACAGTACTGAGTTGCCGACATCAGCATGATCAGTAACGCGGATAGGGCCTACAGTACTGAGTTGCCGGCCTGTATGATCAGTACATGATAGGGGCCTACAGTACTGAGCGTTGTCGACCAGTATGATCAGTACGCGATAGGGGCCTACAGTACTGAGCTGCCTATATCAGTATGATCAGTAATGCTGATGGGGCCTACAGTACTGAGTTGCCGACCGGTATGATCAGTGCGTGATAGGGGCCTACAGTACCTAGGTTGCTGAGCGCCAGTATGATCAGTGCGCGGATGGGGCCTACAGCAATGAGTTGCCGACCAGTATGAGCCAGTCATTGATAGGGGCCTACAGTACTGAGTTGCCGACCTGTATGATCAGTACGTGATAGGGGCCTACAGTACTGAGTTGCCGGCCTGTATGATCAGTACGTGATAGGGGCCTACAGTACTGAGTTGCCGACCTGTATGATCAGTACGTGATAGGGGCCTACAGTACTGAGTTGCCGACCAGTATGATCAGTACGTGATAGGGGCCTACAGCTTGCATCCAGCAGCAACACTTCCCACACAAGAACAAACCCACATTCATGACGTGTCTTTCTCTGCACTATTCTATTATAAAAATATAAAATCCATCAAGATTGTGTCTGTGAGGATTGAGAATTTTCACTGCATGTTAATTAACATTAACATTAACACTTTACATAATGCCGACGTGCATCAAGGTGGTGAGAACAGAGACATCAAAGTTGTCAACTGCCTTTACTCTTCCACTAAATAGTACAGTGATACCGCACATCAACAATGTACATCACAGGACACCATACATTATGTAAAGACCACTGTATGGTACGCTGTCAACAACCCAAGTCCCATCAATAAGACAGAAGATGAAGGTCGCTGTATTAACATTGTGCAATAGATGGAAACCACTAAACCCTAGTTAAACTGTTTAACTGCAAGACAAAATTGGTAAAAGTACACTTGAGTAAAACACATGTATATCATTTACAAGATAAACCAACAAAAAAGAAACAGGTTGGTCCAGAATATGTTATATCATACAAGACATTGTTTAGTTTAACATAACAATACAGAATTAGACAATACATAGCTGTAGGCCACCATTTAGGAAATGTGGTGAATTTGTTGACACTAGCCTACTCCTTGTCACCATGGTGATGCTTGCTCTCTTCTGCCATGTCAGGGGGCTCACATCCGACTCCATCGGGCCACCATGGCTTTACAGTTGGGGCAGGTGTGGATAACATCCTTGCAGCCATCCACGCAGAACGGGATTAGACAGCAGAAGAAATCACACCTGCAAACACACACTTCATGAAGAAGTCTTATACTAATGACACCTGCAAACACACACCTCATGAAGTAGTCTTATACTGACCACACCTGCAAACACACACCTCATGAAGTAGTCTTATACTGATGACACCTGCAAACACACACCTCGTGAAGTAGTCTTACACTGATGACACCTGCAAACACACACTTCATGAAGTAGTCTTATACTGATGACACCTGCAAACACACACCTCATGAAGTAGTCTTATACTGATGACACCTGCAAAACACACACTTCTTATGAATGTAGTCTTATACTGATGACACCTGCAAACACACACCTCATGAAGTAGTCTTATACTGATGACACCTACAAACACACACCTCGTGAAGTAGTCTTATACTGACCACACCTGCAAACACACACCTCATGAAGTAGTCTTATACTGATGACACCTACAAACACACACCACATGAAGTAGTCTTATACTGACCACACCTGCAAACACACACCTCATGGAAGTAGTCTCATACCGATACACCTGCAAACACACACCTCATGAAGTAGTCTTATACTGATGACACCTGGCAAACACACACCTCATGAAGTAGTCTTATACTGACCACACCTGCAAACACACCTCATGAAGTAGTCTTATACTGATGACACCTGCAAACACACCTCATGAAGTAGTCTTATACTGACCACACCTGCAAACACACACCTTGTGAAGTAGTCTTACACTGATGACACCTACAAACACACACCTCATGAAGAAGTCTTATACTGATGACACCTGCAAACACACACCTCATGAAGTAGTCTTATACTGATGACACCTACAAAACACACACCTCATGAAGTAGTCTTATACTGACCACACCTGCAAACACACACCTGACACCTGCAAACACACACTTCATGCAGTAGTCTTATACTGATGACACCTACAAACACACACCTCATGAAGTAGTCTTATACTGACCACACCTGCAAACACACACCTCATGAAGTAGTCTTATACTGACCACACCTGCAAACACACACCTCATGAAGTAGTCTTATACTGATGACACCTACAACACACACACCTCTGGTGAAGTAGTCTTGTATACTGATGACACCTGCAAAACACACACACCTGATGAAGTAGTCTTATACTGATGACACCTACAAACACACACCTCATGAAGTAGTCTTATACTGACCACACCTGCAAACACACACTTCATGAAGTAGTCTTATACTGACCACATCTACAAAAACACACCAGATGAAGTTGTCTTAAACTGACCACACCTGCGAACACACACCTCATGAAGTAGTCTTATACTGATGACACCTACAAACACACACCTCGTGAAGTAGTCTTACACTGATGACACCTACAAACACACACCTCATGAAGAAATCTTATACTGATGACACCTACAAACACACACCTCGTGAAGTAGTCTTATACTGACCACACCTGTAAACACACACCTCCAAACACACACCTCATGAATCATGAAGTAGTCTTATACTGATGACACCTACAAACACACACCTCATAAAGCAGTCTTATACTGACCACGCCTCCAAACACACCTGTCGTGAAGTGAAACACACACCTCACAAAGAGTAGTCTTATACTGATGACACCTACAAACACACACCTCATGAAGTAGTCTTTATACTGATGACACCTGCAAAACACACACCACATGAAGTAGTCTTATACTGACCACACCTGCAAACACACACCACATGAAGTAGTCATATACTGACCACACCTGCAAACACACACCTCCTTAGAGTAGTCTTATACTGACCACATCTACAAAACACACCAGATGAAGTTGTCTTATACTGACCACACCTGCACCTCATGAACCACACACCTCATGAAGTAGTCTTATACTGATGACACCTACAAAACACACACCTCGTTGAAGTAGTCTTACACTGATGACACCTGCAAACACACACCTCATGAAGAAATCTTCTACTGATGACACCTGCAAACACACACCTCGGTGGAAGTAGTCTTATACTGACCTGCAAACACACACCTGCAAACACACACCTCATGAAGTAGTCTTATACTGATGAGCCACACCTCGTAGGTAGTCTTATGCACCTGCAAACACACACCTCATGAAGTAGTCTTATACTGATGACACCTGCAAACACACACCTCATGAAGTAGTCTTATACTGATGACACCTACAAACACACACCTCATGGAAGTAGTCTTATACTGATGACACCTACAAACACACACCTCGTTGAAGTAGTCTTATACTGAGCCACACCTGCAAACACACACCTTGAGTAGTCTTATGCTGACCGACGCAAAACACACACCTCATGGAGAAGTAGTCTTATCATGGAAGTAGTCTGATGACACCTACAAACACACACCTCATGAAGTAGTCTTATGCTGATGACACCTGCAAACACACACCTCATGAAATAGTCTTATGCTGATGACACCTCCAAACACACACCTCGTGAAGTAGTCTTATACTGATGACACCTGCAAACACCCACACCTCATGAAGTACTTGTACTGAACACACACACCTCATGAAGTAGTCTTATACTGACATCTGCAAACACACACCTGTCTTAAACACACACCTACATCGGAAGTAGTCTTATACTGACCACACCTGCAAACACACACCTCATGCATTAACTGAAGTAGTCTTATACTGACCACACCTGCAAACACACACCTCATGGAAGTAGTCTTATACTGATGACACCTACAAACACACACCTCATGAAGTAGTCTTATACTGATGACACCTGCAAACACACACCTCATGAAGTAGTCTTATACTGATGACACCTGCAAACACACACCTCATGAAGTAGTCTTATACTGATGACACCTGCAAACACACACCTCATGAAGTAGTCTTATACTGACCACACCTGCAAACACACACCTACAAACACACACACACCTCATGAGTAGTCTTATACTGACCACACCTGCAAACACACACCTCATGAAGTAGTCTTTATACTGACCACACCTGCAAACACACACCTCATGAGTAGTCTTATACTGATTGACACCTGCAAACACACACCTCATGAAGTAGTCTTATACTGACCACACCTGCAAACACACACCTCATGAAGTAGTCTTACACTGATGACACCTGCAACACACACACCTCATGAAGTAGTCTTATACTGAGTGACACCTGCAAACACACCTACAAACACACACCTCATGGAAGTAGTCTTATACTGATGACACCTGCAAACACACCTCATGAAGTAGTCTTATACTGATGGCCACCTGCAAACACACACCTCATGAAGTAGTCTTATACTGATGACACCTACAAACACACACCTCATGAAGTAGTCTTATACTGATGACACCTGCAAACACACACACCTCATGAAGTAGTCTTATACTGATGACACCTGCAAACACACACCTCATGAAGTAGTCTTATACTGATGACACCTGCAAACACACACCTCATGAAGTAGTCTTATACTGATGACACCTCACCAAACACACACATGAAGTAGTCTTATACTGATGACACCACACACCTCATGGAAGTAGTCTTATACTGACCACACCTGCAAACAAACACACCTCATGAGTAGTCTTATACACTGATGACACCTGCAAAACACACCTCATGAAGTAGTCTTATACTGACCACACCTACAAACACACACCTCATGAAGTAGTCTTATGCTGATGACACCTACAAACACACACCTCATGAAGTAGTCTTACACTGATGACACCTGCAAACACACACCTCATGAAGTAGTCTTATACTGACCACACCTGCAAAACACACACTTCATGAAGTAGTCTTATACTGATGACACCTACAAACACACACCTCATGAAGTAGTCTTATGCAGGCCTGCAAAACACACACACTACTGATGACACCTGCAAACACACACCTCATGAAGTAGTCTTATACTGACCACACCTGCAAACACACACCTCATGAAGTAGTCTTATACTGACCACACCTGCAAACACACACCTCATGAAGTAGTCTTATACTGACCACACCTGCAAACACACACCTCATGAAGTAGTCTTATACTGATGACACCTGCAAACACACACCTCATGAAGTAGTCTTATACTGATGACACCTGCAAACACACACCTCATGAAGTAGTCTTATACTGATGACACCTGCAAACACACACCTACAAACACAAACACACCTCATGAAGTAGTCTTATACTGATGACACCTACAAACACACACCTCATGAAGTAGTCTTATACTGATGACACCTCACAAACACACACCTCATGAAGTAGTCTTATACTGATGACATCTGCAAACACACACCTCATGAAGTAGTCTTATAGTAGCCTGCAAACACACACCTCATGAAGTAGTCTTATGACACCTGCAAACACACACCTACAAACACACACCTCATGAAGTAGTCTTATACTGATGACACCTGCAAACACACACCTCGTGAAGTAGTCTTATACTGATGACACCTGCAAACACACACCTACAAACACACACCACATGAAGTAGTCTTATACTGACCACACCTGCAAACACACACCTCATGAAGTAGTCTTATACTGACCACACCTGCAAACACACACCTCATGAAGTAGTCTTATACTGACCACACCTACAAACACACACCTCATGAAGTAGTCTTATACTGATGACACCTACAAACACACACCTCATGAAGTAGTCTTATACTGATGACATCTACAAACACACACTTCATGAAGTAGTCTTATACTGATGACATCTACAAACACACACTTCATGAAGTAGTCTTATACTGATGACACCTACAAACACACACCTCATGAAGTAGTCTTACACTGACCACACCTGCAAACACACACCTACAAACACACACCACATGAAGTAGTCTTATACTGACTGACACCTGCAAACACACACCTCATGAAGTAGTCTTATACTGACCACACCTGCAAACACACACCTCATGAAGTAGTCTTATACTGATGACACCTACAAACACACACCTCATGAAGTAGTCTTATACTGATGACACCTACAAACACACACCTCATGAAGTAGTCTTATACTGACCACACCTGCAAACACACACCTCATGAAGTAGTCTTATACTGACCACACCTGCAAACACACACCTCATGAAGTAGTCTTACACTGATGACACCTGCAAACACACACCTCATGAAGTAGTCTTATACTGATGACACCTACAAACACACACCTACAAACACACACCTCATGAAGTAGTCTTATACTGATGACACCTACAAACACACACCTCGTGAAGTAGTCTTATACTGATGACACCTACAAACACACACCTCATGAAGTAGTCTCATACTGATGACATCTACAAACACACACCTCATGAAGTAGTCTTATACTGATGACACCTGCAAACACACACCTACAAACACACACCTCATGAAGTAGTCTTATACTGATGACACCTGCAAACACACACCTCATGAAGTAGTCTTATACTGATGACACCTACAAACACACACCTCATGAAGTAGTCTTATACTGATGACATCTACAAACACACACTTCATGAAGTAGTCTTACACTGATGACACCTGCAAACACACACCTCATGAAGTAGTCTTATACTGATGACATCTACAAACACACACCTCATGAAGTAGTCTTATACTGATGACATCTACAAACACACACCTCATGAAGTAGTCTTATACTGATGACACCTACAAACACACACCTCATGAAGTAGTCTTATACTGACGGCTTGTGCATGAGTGCATTGCTTAATACTCACTGTGCTAATGCAAACTAGTTGACATCTTATCCAACTGGTTGTTCATGTAACACACTCTCACAATTGGTTAGAAATATCTAATCCTTTCCACTATTCCCTTGTCCAGGACAAAGCATAGTGTGTATGCTAAACACTGGGAAACACCAGACTTGTCGCATCTTGGTCTTTGAAATGCTGCATGATAATGCCTCTCAATTTTTATGAATAAGGTCAATGCACAAAATCACCTGCTAAAATGCGTGCACCGTCATGGACCAGACTCAGGTCATAAAAGAGAATGATATTTCTGTGGAAGAGGTGAGGTGAAATTGGGTTTAACGTCGTGCTTGAGAATATTTCGCTCATATGACAACGTGCATAAGTGTGTATGTGCGGCTGCTTGTACTAGCCCAGACTTAAGCTGGTTTTATAGTGCTAGCTCACTGAGATACCATGCCGCAGTGAAGCATGAATACCCCACTCAGACACAGTATACTGACTCTGAGCCGACCAGTCCCTTCTTGTACCCATTAATGCCGAGCGCCAGGCAGGGACCAACAAGTACCATATTTTAACGTCTTTTGGTATGACGCGGTCGGGGATTGAACCCGCGACCTTCCGCTCTCCGGGCGGACGCTCTAACCACTACACCACGGAGGCGGTCTTCTGTGGAAGAACGAGCTACACGTGCTGTATGGACGCTGACGTGTATTGGCACACAGCTGTGTGGGTACAGAGCTGCGTGGGTAGAGGGCTGTGTGGGTACAGAGCTGTGTGGGGGCAGAGCTGCGTGGGTAGAGGGCTGTGTGGGTACAGAGCTGTGTGGGTACAGGGCTGTGTGGGCACAGAGCTGTGTGGGATAGGGCTGTGTGGGTACAGAGCTGTATGGGCACAGAGTTTTATAGGCACAGAACGGTGACAATGACAAGGGAAGATGATGGAAACTGTGGTGCATTGGGTCAAGTGTTTTAAAACTGGAAATATACTGTTGGTTCCAACAGGGATTGATAGTATAGGGAGAGAGTGAGTGAGCTCAGTGTTACGCCACTTTTAACCATATTCCAGCTATACCACAGCAGGGGATACGAGAAATGGGAGTATAAGGAGAGATGCAAAGTGTGATATATAATAGGTATAAAAACACAAAGCTATACTAACTACTAGTACTACTAAATACCACCACTACTACTACTAACTACTAACTACTGCTACTACTGCTACTGCTACTGCTACTGCTACTACAAATGTATGGACAAATTTCAGATGTTAACTGTCAATGTGAACAATTCTTAAAAGTTTATGATCACCCTACATCAACAGATCAAACAACTCGGTCCACCTACCCACAAACAGGCTCACACAATCCATCCAGACCCACCTACCTCACAAACAGGCTCACACAATTCGACCAGGCACACCTACCCAACAAACAGGCTCACACAATCCAACCATGCACACCTACCCCACAAACAGGCTCACACAATCCACCCAGACCCACGTACCCAACAAAACAGCTTCACACCATTCGATCAGGCACACCTAACGAACAAACCAGGCTCACACAATCCAATCAGACACACCTACCCCACAAACAGGCTCACACAATCCACTCAGACCAACCTACCCAACTAAACACACTCACACAATTCGACCAGACACACCTACCCAAAAACCAGCTTCACACCATTCGACCAAGCACACCTACCCAACAAACCAGGCTCACACAATCCAATCAGACACACCTACCCAACTAAACAGGCTCACACAATCCAACCAAGCACATCTACCCAACAAAACGGGCTCACACAATCCAACCAAGCACATCTACCCAACAAAACGGGCTCACACAATCCAACCAAGCACACCTACCCAACAAGGCACAGGATGAGACAGATGACCCAGGTAAACGTGCCATTGTCATAGTGAGTTGCCGTGACGATCTGTGCGGCACAGTGTGGACACTGGGTCTGTACCGGTGCCTCCCTGAACTGCTGTACGACAGCGATGGTAGGCTGTTGGACCACCACAGTGGTGCTTGTCTGTCCCTGTGTGTAACCGGGCTGACCTGCAACATATCCTCATACCATCAGCACAGTTTATACAGACTTGCCAGTCCTTCTATAAGACAGGTTCATCTTTATGAAAATAGTTTTCTTTAAAGTATATCTTGAGCGAATACAAAAGGTAGGGACTCATTTCAAGAGATATTATACACTAAACAGCAAAAAATACAAGATCTTACAAGAGACCTAAATAATCAAGACATTTCTAAGATGAATTTTCTAGACCATTCTAAGACAGGACTCAACATTCCCTGCCTTCATAAGACAGAACTCAACATTCTAAGCCGTTATGAGATAGAAATCAACTATCCCTGCCTAGGTAAAATGGACCTCAACATTCCCTGCCATGGTAAGATGGACCTCAACATTCCCTGCCTTGGTAAGATGGACCTCAACATTCCCTGCCATGTAAGATGGACCTCAACATTCCCTGCCTTGTAAGATAGACCTCAACATTACTTGCCTTGTAAGATGGACCTCAACATTACCTGCCTTGTAAGATAGACCTCAACATTCCCTGCCTTGTAAGATGGACCTCAACATTCCCTGCCATGGTAAGATAGACCTCAACATTCCCTGCCTTGGTAAGATGGACCTCAACATTCCCTGCCTTGGACCTCAACATTCCCTGGCTTGTAAGATGGACCTCAACATTCCCTGCCATGGTAAGATGGACCTCAACATTCCCTGCCTACCTCAACATTCCCTGCCTTGGTAAGATGGACCTCAACATTCCTGCCATGTAAGATGACCTCCAACATTCCCTGCCTTGTAAGATGGACCTGTAAGATGGACCTCAACATTACCTGCCTTGTAAGATGGCAACATTACCTGCCTTGTAAGATGGACCTCAACATTACCTGCCTTGTAAGATGCCTGCCATGGTAAGATGGACCTCAACATTCCCTGCCTTGTAAGATGGACCTCAACATTCCCTGCCTTGGTAAGATGGACCTCAACATTACCCCTGCCTTGTAAGATGGACCTTGTAAGATCAACATTCCCTGCCTTGTAAGATAGACCACAACATTCCCTGCCTTGTAAGATGGACCTCAACATTACCTGCCTTGTAAGATGGACCTCAACATTCCCTGCCTTGTAAGATGGACCTCAACATTCCCTGCCTTGGTAAGATGGACCTCAACATTCCCTGCCTTGTAAAGATGGACCTCAACATTCCCTGCCTGGACCTCAACTCCTGCCTTGTAAGATGGACCTCAACATTCCCTGCCTTGGTAAGATGGACCTCAACATTCCCCTGACCTCAACATTCCCTGCCCTTGGTAAGATGGACCTCATGGACCTCAACATTCCCTGCCTTGGTAAGATGGACCTCAACATTCCCTGCCTTGTAAGATGGACCTCAACATTCCCTGCCTTGTAAGATGGACCTCAACATTCCCTGCCTTGGTAAGATGGACCTCAACATTCCCTGCCTTGTAAGATGGACCTCAACATTCCCTGCCTTGGTAAGATGGACCTCAACATTCCCTGCCTTGGTAAGATGGACCTCAACATTACCTGCCTTGTAAGATGGACCTCAACATTCCCTGCCTTGGTAAGATGGACCTCAACATTCCCTGCCTTGTAAGATGGACCTCAACATTCCCTGCCTTGTAAGATGGACCTCCATTCCCTGCCTTGTAAGATGGACCTCAACATTCCCTGCCTTGGTAAGATGGACCTCAACATTCCCTGCCTTGTAAGATGGACCTCAACATTCCCTGCCTCTTAAGATGGACCTCAACATTCCCTGCCTTGGTAAGATGGACCTCAACATTCCCTGCCTTGTAAGATGGACCTCAACATTCCCTGCCTTGTAAGATGGACCTCAACATTCCCTGCCTTGGTAAGATGGACCTCAACATTACCTGCCTTGTAAGATGGCCATTCCCTGTATGGTAAGATGGACCTCAACATTCCCTGCCTTGTAAGATGGACCTCAACATTCCCTGCCTTGGTAAGATGGACCTCAACATTCCCTGCCTTGGTAAGATGGACCTCAACATTCCCTGCCTTGTAAGATGGACCTCAACATTACCTGCCTTGTAAGATGGACCTCAACATTCCCTGCCTTGTAGAGATGGATGGACCTCAACATTCCCTGCCTTGGTAAGATGGACCTCAACATTCCCTGCCTTGTAAGATGGACCTCAACATTCCCTGCCTTGTAAGATGGACCTCAACATTCCCTGCCTTGTAAGATGGACCTCAACATTCCCTGCCTTGTAAGATGGACCTCAACATTCCCTGCCTTGGTAAGATGGATCTCAACATTCCCTGCCTTGGTAAGATGGACCTCAACATTTCCTGCCTCTTAAGATGGACCTCACCATTCCCTGCCTTGGTAAGATGGACCTTAACATTACCTGCCTTGTATGATAGTCCTCAACATTCCCTGCCTTGTAAGATGGACTTCAACATTCCCTATGGGACTATGCTATAGATACACAGAACAGTTTTAAACGTTTCACAGTATTGTCCTGTCAAGGGTTTCACACTGACAAATTCTTAACATCAACAGCCTTTAGTATTTGTGCCTGTATCAATATTTAGAATACGTTTGGAGCTACTAATGTTGCCTTGATAATGAATATTTCTCAATCATGAGCTAGTTACTGCAATAAACATATATCCTAAAAAAAAAGATAAAAAATGTTAATATTTTGTAAACAAACATAAAAGAAAAATAATGAAACTTGTCACTATATACTCTACCATCGAAAAAAATTATTTCATTTCTAATAACAAGAATCGATTCACAAAAGGTTTAAGATAATGACAATGATCAGTTTGAACATGGCTTCCACTTGGTCACATGGCCAGGTGAGCCAAATATAATAGACTGATGCTGCAAGAGTGGTAACCAAAGACAAGTAAATATCAGGAATCACGTCTAAATGCCTAGTTCATTCAAGACAGTAAAATGTTGTGTTGGATGTAAATTCAACTGCTTAGTACCAATTGCAGTTGGTGGCCGAATGCCCCTTAATGAACCCCAAAAAGTGTACATATGCCAGAATAATACCTATCTGCAAAATGGGACTACACACCACAACCAAGAAGATTGGGCAAACTAAATCCTTGTTTCTGAATGTACCTCAACAAAAAGTACAGGGTTCAAAATAAGGACAGGAGTTAAGGGTCTTGAGCAGCAGGTCACATTGACTGGATCAAAGGTCAAGATCCCCATCTCCAGATGAAGATTGTTGACCACCAGCCCACTGGATGAGGGAATTTAGCTTACATGCAACACGGGGACACAATCTGTCAGAAAGAGCAGACGTCACACAGTCACCATCATGGCAGTGTTGCTTTCTTCAGCTTACTGACAGTGTCCTTAGCAGCATAAGAATGGTTGCACAGAGGCGGTATTCATATCAATATCACATCTTGAGGTCACTGTGAACTATATTGTGCCAGGGAAAGAAAACCAAAAATAACCGTAACAAATGAAATCGTATCAATTGGAAGACAAAGGAAACAACATATAGATTTACAAAGTGAAAGAAACTGAGTGATAATGTCTATGTATGGAGAAACAGTGAGTTTGTTACAGACACTGGTTACAGGTGTCACTACAGACACTGGTTACAGGTGTCACTACAGACACTGGTTACAGGTGTCACTACAGACACTGGTTACAGGTGTCACTACAGACACTGGTTACAGGTGTCACATTCAAGTATGGTGTTCAAACAGGCAGAAAGTCAATCAAATGCACATTTACTTTTAACATAAACTAATTTAAAAGACTCAAATCCAGGTATCAATGTACAAAAGCCAATGAAAGATCAATAGCACTGAACAAATCCAGTAAATCAATTCTCTGAATAAACATGATATCTGTTTGACACATTCCTATGCGAGTCACTAAGAGTCATTATAAGTGAATGATACTGATTTTCCAACTGGCTAAATTAAGTCAACTGTTTGAACACTCATACAGAACATGTAAACAACACAACCAGCACCAAGATATTGTAATCAAAACCAGTGAATAGAAGTGGCCAACAAATCACTTCTGATGGCCACAAACATCAAGGGGTTGAACAAGGTTAACAATCAATGACTGACAAATAAACTATCAGACCTTCTTCCTTACACACCTGGCTGACTGTAACCATGGTAACCTGAAATATTAACACAATGAAGCACAAGGATTAAAAGAAATGAAACCACCACAAATCGACATATCAAGGATGACTTGACAATATTTACACAGTACCATATTGCTGCATAGCTGATTAATGCACGTTGCCATGTGGAACGTCACAAAATGTCAAATTAAATTGAACTGAACTGATTAGTCAGACTTATAATCTGGACAGCAGAAACAAAACATTCAGGAATTACTGACATTAATGTTAAAACTTAGCATTAATCCAGCCATTAAGAGATGCTATATATATTTAATATTCTGGTTATGGTCTTACAAAGGGCACCAACTAACATAGGTCAAGTAGCATGCAGTATGGTACAACACAATAAAGACTGCATCCCACCACCAAGATATTGAAATGGTGTTAACACAAAGTACCCCTGCCAAAATGTATTGGGAGTTGAAGCAAGTGCTGACTACATAAAATACACAAATCAGATACACCACTCTACATAATGTAAAAACACTTGCAGAACAAGCTGCAGGATGTCTTCTACAGGACAAGTTGCAGGAAGTCCTCAACAGAACAAGCTGCAGGAGGTCCACAACAGAACAAGCTGCATGAAGTCCTAAACAGAACAAGCTGCAGGATGCCCCCAACAGAAAAAGTTACAGGATGTCCTCAAAAGAACAGCCTAGAGGAAGTTCTCAACAAAACAAGCTGCAGGATAGCTTCAACAGAACAAGCTGCAGGAAGTCCTCAACAGAACAAGCTGCAGGATGCCCCAACAGAAAAAGCTACAGGATGTCCTCAACAGAACAAGCTGCAGGATGTTCTCGGATAGCTTCAAGACAAGAAGCTGCAGGAGTTCCACAACAGAACAAGCTGCAGGATGTCCTCAACAGAACAAGCTGCAGGATGTCTTCTACAGAACAAGCTGCAGGATGTCCTCAACAGAACAGGCTGCAGGATGTCCACAACAGTACAAGCTGCAGGATGTCCTCAACAGAACAAGCTGCAGGATGTCCTCAACAGAAAAGGCTACTGGAAGTCCTCAACAAAACAAGCTGCCGGATGTCTTCAAGACAACAAGCTGCATGAGTTCCACAACAGAACAAGCTGCAGGACGTCCTCTACAGAACAAGCTGCAGGATGTCCTTTACAGAACAAGCTGCAGGATGTCCTCAGCACAACAAGCTGCAGGATGTCCTCAACAGAACAAGATACAGGAAGTCCACAACAGAACAAGCTGCAGGATGTCCACAACAGAACAAGCTGCAGGATGTCCTCAACAGAACAGGCTGCAGGATGTCCTCAACAGAACAAGCTGCAGGAAGTCCACAACAGAACAAGCTGCAGGATGTCCTCAACAGAACAAGATACAGGAAGTCCACAACAGAACAAGCTGCAGGATGTCCTCAACAGATCAAGCTGCAGGGGGGCTACAACAGAACAAACTACAGGAAGTCCACACCAAAACAAGCTGCAGGATGTCCTCAGAAGAACAAGCTGCAGGATGTCCACAACAGAAAAAGCTGCAGGATGTCCTCAACAGAACAAGCTGCAGGAGGTCCTCAACAGAACAAGCTGCAGGATGTCCACAACAGAACAAGCTGCAGGATGTCCACAACAGAACAAGCTGCAGGATGTCCACAACAGAAAAAGCAGCAGGAAGTCCTCAACAGAACAATCTGCAGGAAGTCCACAACACAACAAGATGCAGGGAGTCCACAACAGAACAAGCTGCAGGATGTCCTCAACAGTACAAGCTGCAGGAGCTCTACAACAGAACAAACTACAGGAGGTCTACACCAGAACAAGCTGCAGCAAGTCCACACCAGAACAAGCAGCAGGATGTCCTCAACAGAACAATCTGCAGGAAGTCCTCAACACAACAAGCTGCAGGTGATCCACAACAGAACAAGCTGCAGGATGTCCTCAACAGAAAAAGCTACAGGAAGTCTACAACAGAACAAGCTGCAGGATGTCCTCAACACAACAAGATGCAGGAGGTCCACAACAGTACAAGCTGCAGGATGTTCTCAACAGAACAAGCTGCAGGATGTGCTCTACAGAACAAGCTGCAACAGAACAAACTACAGGATGTCTACAACAGAACAAGCTGCAGGAAGTCCACAACAGAACAAGCTGCAGGATGGAAGTCCTCAACAGAACAAGATACAGGAAGTCCACAACAGAACAAGCTGCAGGATGTCCAACAACAGAACAAGCTGCAGGTTGTCCTCAGCACAACAAGCTGCAGGATGTCCTCAACAGAACAAGATACAGGAAGTCCACAACAGAACAAGCTGCAGGATGTCCTCAACAGAACAAGATACAGGAAGTCCACAACAGAACAAGCTGCAGGATGTCCTCAACAGATCAAACTGCAGGGGGGCTACAACAGAACAAACTACAGGAAGTCCACACCAAAACAAGCTGCAGGATGTCCTCAGAAGAACAAGCTCCAGGATGTCCACAACAGAAAAAGCTGCAGGATGTCCTCAACAGAACAGGCTATAGGAAGTCCTCAACAGAACAAGTTGCAAGTCCACAACAGAACAAGGAAGTCAACACAACAAGCTGCAGGATATCCACAACAGAACAAGCTGCAGGATGTCCACAACAGAAAAAGCTACAGGATGTCCTCAAAACAACAGTAACAGGAGGTCCAAACACAACAAGATGCAGGAGATACCTCAACAGTACAAGCTGCAGGATGTCCTCAACAGTACAAGCTGCAGGATCTCTACAACAGAACAAACTACAGGAGGTCTACACCAGAACAAGCTGCAGCAAGTCCACACCAGAACAAGCTGCAGGATGTCCTCAACAGAACAATCTGCAGGAAGTCCTCAACACAACAAGCTGCAGGTGATCCACAACAGAACAAGCTGCAGGATGTCCTCAACAGAACAAGCTACAGGAAGTCCACAACAGAACAAGCTGCAGGATGTCCTCAACAGAACAAGACACAGGAGGTCAACAGTACAAGCTGCAGGATGTTCTCAACACAACAATCTGCAGGAGCTGTACAACAGAACAAACTACAGGAGGTCTACAACAGAACAAGCTGCAGCAAGTCCACAACAGAACAAGCTGCAGGATGTCCTCAACAGAACAAGATACAGGAAGTCCACAACAGAACAAGCTGCAGGATGTCCACAACAGAACAAAGTTGCAGGTTGTCCTCAACAGAACAGGCTGCAGGATGTCCTCAACAGAACAAGCTGCAGGATGTCCTCAACAGAACAATCTGCAGGATGTCCTCAACAGAACAAGCTACAGGAAGTCCACAACAGAACAAGCTGCAGGATGTCCTCAACATGTACATCCTGCAGGAGGTCTGCAGGATGTACAACAGAACAAGCTACAGGAAGTCCACACCAGAACAAGCTGAAGGGATGTCCTCAGAAGAACAAGCTGCAGGATGTCCCCAACAGAAAAAGCTGCAGAAAATCCTCAAAAACAACATTTTGCAGGGAGGTCCAAAAACACAACAAGATGCAGGAGATCCACAACAGTACAAGCTGCAGGATGTCCTCAACAATACCAAGCTGCAGGATCTCTACAACAGAACAAACTACAGGAGGTATACACCAGAACAAGCTGCAGCAAGTCAACACCAGAACAAGCTGCAGGATGTCCTCAACAGAACAATCTGCAGGAAGTCCTCAACACAACAAGCTGCAGGAGGTCCACAACAGAACAAGCTGCAGGATGTCCTCAACAGAACAAGCTACAGGAAGTCCACAACAGAACAAGCTGCAGGATGTCCTCAACAGAACAAGCTGCAGGAGGTCCACAACAGAACAAGCTGCAGGATGTCCTCAACAGTACAACCTGCAGGAGCTCTACAACAGAACAAACTACAGGAGGTCTACACCAGAACAAGCTGCAGCAAGTCCACACCAGAACAAGCAGCAGGATGTCCTCAACAGAACAATCTGCAGGAAGTCCTCAACACAACAAGCTGCAGGTTATCCACAACAGAACAAGCTGCAGGATGTCCTCAACAGAACAAGCTACAGGACGTCCACAACAGAACAAGCTGCAGGATGTCCTCAACAGAACAAGATACAGGAAGTCCACAACAGAACAAGCTGCAGGATGTCCTCAACAGATCAAGCTGCAGGGGCTACAACAGAACAAACTACAGGAAGTCCACAAAAAACAAGCTGCAGGATGTCCTCAGAAGAACAAGCTGCAGGATGTCCCCAACAGAAAAAGCTGAGGGATGTCCTCAACAGAACAGGCTATAGGAGGTCCTCAGAAGAACAAGCTGCTTGGAAGTCAACACAACAAGCTGCAGGATATCCACAACAGAACAAGCTGCAGGATGTCCCCAACAGAAAAGCTATAGGAAATCCTCAAAACAACAGTATGCAGGAGGTCCAAAACACAACAAGACGCAGGAGATGCACAACAGTACAAGCTGCAGGTGGATGTCCTCAACAGTACAAGCTGCAGGATCTCTACAACAGAACAAACTACAGGAGGTCTACACCAGAACAAGCTGCAGCAAGTCCACACCAGAACAAGCTGCAGGATGTCCTCAACAGAACAATCTGCAGGAAGTCCTCAACACAACAAGCTGCAGGTGTTCCACAACAGAACAAGCTGCAGGATGTCCTCAACAGAACAAGCTACAGGAAGTCCACAACAGAACAAGCTGCAGGATGTCCCTCAACACAACAAGACGCAGGGAGTCATAATAGTACAAGCTGCAGGATGTTCTCAACAGAACAATCTGCAGGAGCTGTACAACAGAACAAACTACAGGAGGTCTACACCAGAACAAGCTGCAGCAAGTCCACAACAGAACAAGCTGCAGGATGTCCTCAACAGAACAAGCTACAGGAAGTCCTCAACAGAACAAGCTGCAGGATGTCCACAACAGAACAAGCTGCAGGATGTCCACAACAGAACAAGCTGCAGGAAGTCCTCAACAGAACAAGCTGCAGGATGTCCTCAACAGTACAACCTGCAGGAGCTCTACAACAGAACAAACTACAGGAGGTCTACACCAG